TTCAGTCTGGGAAGATTCTTGCTAGAGGTTGTAGCTAATAAACATTGCTGAACTGAATCTATATGGTCTCCTGGAGTTCCTTGGGCTAGGCCTGACACTTTCAAAGGTACCAATCATGGTTTGAGCAAGATGGCTGTTCCCTCATCTCCAAGACCTTTAAACCTGCCAGAGACAGCTATCTTGCAGTCTCCTCTTGAGGAGCAGCTGTCTGGAGCACTTGTGGGCGATCTCAAGTCCTCTCATTGTCTGTCGCAGTTATCAGCTCTGTTTTTCGCAGAAGCGTCTTCAGTCCATCATTTCTTATTGTGGAAGTCTGTCCAGGGTTGTTTTGGAGTCAGCCAGCCTCTAAGTCTTGTAAATAAAAGCTGAAAAATAAAAATATGCAAATTTAGCAAAGCCTAACTATTCTTTATCATTAATTTTGGGAGAGAAACAAGACATAGAGCAACTGAGATAATCCTATTATTAGATCAATTGATTCTCAAACTGCACATCTAAACATACAGTTTAACCAAGTCCTCTTGAGAATTTTCCCACCCCAGTGCTTCCTGTTGGATTTTTCTTACTGTCAGCAATCTAAAGACACTGTGCAGCTATTTTCCCCTTACTTTTTTTCCTAATACTTCTTTGAGGAAAAAGATAGGACAGTCACAAATGGCAGATTATGTCATTTAGAGATTTGGCAAGGTTCCCTCACGAGGACAGGGTGGTTGTACAACAATAGCCTAATTTAAATGAACCCTATGCCCACTCTTAATTTTTGTAATCCTTCTCTAAGTATGACTAAGCCTGATCTGATCCATTGCATTTTCCATTAAATAGAGAAACTTTGCCATGTGTTTTTAAATCTGCCCCCCCCCCATCTCTTCTCTTTCTTTTCCAGCTGCAGAAGACAGGATATTGAGGATCAGCTGGCCTGGGAAATCTGGTCGAAGTCCACTTCACACTCTTTACAAGGGTGACCAGGTAAGTGGACTTGAAAAGACAAAGTGGTTCTTTGTGAAGGAAGAGAACAGGCAGTAGTTGAAGAATACTCTTTGCATGCAGAAAATGTGACCCTCCTTCCCCACCCCCCAGTTGCCCCCACAAAATTATGCACTTCTTTTTGTGAATTGGAGACTTGGACCCTGCCCACAGGGTTTCACATACAGAAACCTACAGAAATAGTTATTTCGTTGTAAAGTCTTTTGAGAGACAAATAGGGTAGTCTTTCTCCAACTAATTTGGAAATCCAAGAGAAACCCTGTGAATGAAAAGCAAGCCTTCTACGTCAGAATTCCTTGTGTCCTTTTTTTTACACGTCATGTGCCTTTGGTTCTTCAGATGTAAAACAAGAGTCAGAAAAGAAAAAAAAGAAACATGGAGGCCAAGTTGCTAATCCACACATCTTAAAGTTGCCAAGGTTGAAGAACACTGGGTTTGAGAGTTGATTAACATGTCAGGACATGTTGAGCTTTTGTCCTGACATGTTAATTTGAGTTCTCCTCCTGTGAACTCCCCCCAGCCAGCTGGAATAGTATGATCCAGGGAAAGCTTTGACCCCTCATTTGCTACTCATCAGAGTAAAATGCTTGTATTCCAGAGATTTTGGTCTCTGGATTTTCCTGGGCAAGGAACCTGCGTTCTGGGCAAGGCTGTCGTAAAGTGACTAGGCTGGAATTGCAGGTTTTCCCTATTTTTCTTGCTCTGTATTACTGTTGACCATTAAACATGTGAAAATGAACTTAAAACCAGATTGCAGCTTTTATCTTCTCAATTTGGATTCCCAGTGGCCCCCATAGAGTAAACTAAATTGTTTGCTGAATGGTTTTGGACTCCCGCTTCCACAATCCATTGCTGTACACTATAAAGTCCAAAATATCTGGAGGACGCCAGACTGCTAGCTTTCCCTACTCAGTTGGAGGTTATTGGCTGGCACTGGCTCTAGGACAAAAGTTCAAGTCTCTTCTATAGATTTAAGAAGAGAAGAACAGCCCTGCCAGATCAGACCCAAGACCTGCTGGGTCCGCTGTATTGCTTCTTGCAGTGTCCCACAAGCCAGTCATAAATGCAGTGCACCTTTGCTGTTCTGGTTGCACGTTGGTTGCCAGTCTTCTGGCTTCTCTGTTAAATCATCGTCTGCCTGCCTTGGTCTCCTCCTGCCCTATCAGGGTCCTACTGGCAGCATGACCAAGAACAACCAAGGCTGAGATGTGTATTAATAAAGAGCGGGGGCCTCGTTACTCTTATCTGACAAGTGAGATCAAAGTTTGTTTGGGAGAGCAGATGCCAGTAGCTGAGGGAGAGATGGGGACATGAAAGGTGAGCTGAGGAAGGAGGTGCTCTTGATTGTGATAATGGCTGGCTCCTGTTCGGCAACCACAACTGCCAGAATGTGAAAAAAGGAAAAATAAATCTACTGGGTGCTGCAGCATATTGTGCTATGGTGAGAGCCTCCTGAAGGCCTCCACAGGTTCCTACTATGAACTGTTTGTGGAATCAGAGCTCTACTAGTAGTTTGACGTGAATCCTGCCTAATAGGAGTTCCCTCATGAAAGCTGGGAATCCTGGCCTGATGTAACACAAAGCATCAGCGTCATTGAACAACAAACTGCAATGTCTTGTACAGATCTTTGGGTTCACTGAGCAACGGTAATACAAACAGAACTTCAAATAAACTTTTTGTGCAATAGCATAGCAGGTGGGCCAGCTTGGCTAATTTTCAAAAAGCATGCAGGGTTGGACCTGGTTAGCACTTGGATGGGAGACCACCAGGAACTCCCAAGGCAGTATTTTATTTATTTATTTATTTATCAATCAATCAAATTTATATCACCGCCCAACTCCTCCACAAGGAGGGACTCTGGGCGGTTCACAACAAAACAACTTAAAATCAGTAAAAACATAAATAATACAAATATAAAATACAATTACTACAATTACAAATATAAAATACAATGATTAAATACAGTAAAATCCAAGAGGTGGTGATATTTTTTTAAGCTATACTGGGAAGCTTAAAAAAATCATCCTGCAAGAAAGAGATGGCAAACTGCTTTCATACTGCTGCCAAGAAAACTACATGGGCCTCTCCATGAACTCACCATGAAGTGATTTGAAAAGCAGGAATGTGTTATATTTAGTATCTAAAAAGCAATAAAATCTGGGGAAAATGAAGGAACAATAAAAACAGTAAGATCCTATGACACTTTTAAGAATGAAATACATAATCATGAGATAAACCAGGGTTAAGCAAAGTGGTTCCAGTGACACCTCTCTGGATACCTGCCCATCTCCCTACCCCGCCTGCCTTCTTTTTCAAGACTCTTTTAATGAGAAGTAATGATTAAATAGGGGGGTTGCAAAGCAGTGAACCAAGCTCTAGCATAATCTTTACTTCCAGGAATGCTGTTGAAAAGCCCCGGCAGGCCATCTGGAAAAAAAAAATGGTGGATGGGCACATCCCAGTTCTTTGGCTATAAGTGTAGTCATCTGATTTGGGGAAAAAAAGGGGGTGAGGTGGGAGAATGGGCTGGGAGGGAGCATTCTGGAGATTTGGGGGGCTGACAGGGAATCTTACCTGTTTGCCTTCCAGTGAAAAGCTGTTTTGTGATTGGCTGCAGCCATTGTCTTATAAAAAGAGTCATTGAATGAGAAAGCTCCTGTCACATGTGCTCAGCATTCTAAATGTGCCCGCCCACCCCTGACCTAAGCTTGTGTGCATCTGATGAAGTGAAGTATATGGCATAATAAACACACTCATCTGTCTCTCTTTCTGAATATAGCAGAGACGGTATAAACGGCTTGCTGAAATAAATATTTAGTCCAACTGCAAATAAGCCTTGTTTTAACTGTAATTAGGGGGAAGGAAAAAGATTCCCCCCCCCCATATAAACAGATACTGCTTTAAGTTTCTGTAAAGAAAGTTAAAAAGATATTCAAAATCCACACATGGATAGTATCTTTCCTAGAACCAAAATGCTGCAAAAGGACATGGGAGTTTTGGGAATTTTCTTGAACCTTTCATCAGGTGAAGTGCTATAAAATGCCGGAGAGATAGGGAAGGATTAAAAAAAAATCCACCATTAGCTAAAAGTTATAGGAAATCAAGAATAAACCCCAAGAAGGAAATTTATTTCCTGAATATGTTGCGAGTCACACTTTCAGGAGCCAAGCTCCAATCCCAGGTGGCTTGAGGTACCCTTTTCTAACAGATGGTTCACCTGGGAAAGGACTCCAATTATGGGAAGGAAGGAAACTTTGAATAGCCAAGGGCAGTTGGTAATCATGGGGATAGGCCTATATTCACAGCACTTTGTTTCCAAGAGCACTTTTCTCTGCTAAGAAAACTCAGCCGGACATTTGATATAGGCTTCTGATGCTCCATCATGCTAAATTAATGCATCTTAACACTATTCATTTCTTTTATCGTTAAAACAAATAAGAGATGATCAGGGAAAGGAAAGAGGCGATTGAGTCCTTCATTCGGAGGAGACACTGATGTTACTCAGAAGCCTTGAAAGAGCTGATAACAAACAGTATGGGATTATTTTCATTCTGAATCTACATTTTGATTCATAGATAAATTTTGGATTTATACCCCTCTCCTCAGTGTAGACACATACATTCAACTGAAATGTCAGTCACAAAAGCAATGAAGTTTAAAATGAAATGGAGCACCTTTAGACCCTTACCTTTCCCTTTCTCTGCCAAAGTCAACTGCTCCTTAACCATTTCTAAGACTAAAAATGAGACTCAGAATGGGAAATTTGGATTAATAATCTCTCCTCTCTGTGCCAGTCCTTCCCAGTCTCATGACCGATAGACTGTGTGGTGCTGAGATTTGGACTTTCTAGCTAGGAGTTCTGAGACTGCAGTCCTGTTCCACCTGAAGGACCCCTAGTTTACCAGTTTTACTTTCTGTTAACCTTTAAATCCCCACTGTTAAAGGGTAAGTGCATCACTTGAAGGAGTAATTATAACCAGTGATAAGACAACACATGAATCTTAAAGGTGTCCAAAGACACCAGCTCCTGCGCATGGGCGTTGGCGGCATGGAGGGGGGATATTACTGGGATCTGTTGAAAGGAGCTCGGCAGGCAGCATGTGGTGACTCCTGTTCCCCCTTCCTCCTGCCTTATGTCTCCTCAGTTTGAGCAGTCCTCCCTGCAGGCAACCCATCAGCACAGGAGGGAACTGCTAAGCAATATGTGCCATCGTTACACCCGCAAGCGGCGCCTCCTGACTTCAGACGACTTGCGACACCTGGTGGTTGATGATGTGCATGGGCTGCTGTACTGCTATGTCCCCAAGGTGGCTTGCACTAATTGGAAGAGAGTCATGATGGTCTTGACAGGGCAGGGCAAATACCAGGACCCGCTGGAAATCCCAGCACATGAAGCGCACGTACCATCCAACCTGCACGTGCTCTCTGAGTACAGCACTCCTGAGATCAACTACCGCTTGCGCAACTACCTCAAATTCATCTTCGTACGGGAGCCTCTTGAACGGCTAGTCTCAGCCTACCGGAACAAATTTACCCGTAGCTACAACACGGCATTCCATAAACGATATGGGACCAAGATCATCCGACGGCATCGTCAGGACCCTAGCAACGAGGCCCTGGAACGTGGCCATGATGTGCGTTTTGAGGAGTTTGTGTACTATTTGTTGGATCCAAAGACCCAGCGTGAGGAGCCTTTCAATGAGCATTGGGAGCGAGTGCACTCCCTTTGCCATCCGTGCATTGTCCACTATGATATCATTGGCAAGTATGAGACCTTGGTTGATGATGCCAACTATATCTTGCAATTGGTTGGGGCTGATGCAGGCATCAAGTTCCCATCCTCTTCCAAGACCACCAGAACCAACAATAACCTGACAGCAAAGTTCTTCAAGAATATCAGCCCCTTCTACCAAAAAAGATTATTTAATTTATACAAGATGGATTATTTGCTCTTCAATTACACCATCCCTTCTTATTTACACCTCCGATGAGACTGGCTACCAGAAACATGCCTTTTCTTCATCATTTCTGCTGTCAACCAACTGCCATAGATAGGAGATGCTTGCAATTTCAGCTATGCCCGTTTTTTATGTTTTATCAGCTGGCATAGTTCTCTCTCTTTCATTCCTCTGTTTCAGTGACAGAACCTACTCTTATTTGATTATCCTTCCTCCTGTTCCTTAAACAACATTTGTTTCTAGGAAGCACTGGAATTAGGACCTTTTGTCAGGAGGTGGGAGAGTCCTTGTGGAAGTAGCAGACGTAATAAAATGTGCATGCATTTAATGTGTTCAATTATAATTCCTTCAAACCTGTCTCTTCTTCACTGACGGAGGAAAGGGGAATATGAGCCAGAAGTGTCTCATTGTGAACAGTTACTTGGCGTGGGGCAGAATTTTCTGTGAGACAAGAGTCTACTGCATCTCCCCCTTCTACCCTCTTTCTTGCAGCTGGTGTTTACAGAACTGCGTTTTTTCCGAAACCACCCAGTCAAGTTCTGCTCCCATGCAGATTCCATAGATGTGCACTGGAGCAATGCTTGGTGGATTGCCCACTTTTATGTGCAGGTTGCAGGAATATCTTGACCAAAAGAAATATTTAATTATTCGCCTTGGCTTTTTCCATGTGAATATGTATTGGCACAAGAGTTGTTGTGGTGTCCTGTTTCATGTAGGCCTAGCCAAATTATGTTCCAGATCCAAGCTCTTCAGTTTAATTAGTGGACCCTTATCCAGGTGAGTTAGAACTGTCTTTTTGTGGGTGATATCTGACACTGGAAGAATAGTGGGCTTGGGCAGTGTTGGCTTGGTTAGAATTCTTATATGTTTTTGACCAAAACCTGTCACCTCTTACCAATATGGCAGCACTTTTGGGTGATAATGGGAATTATAATTTGGCACATTTGGAGAGCACTGGGTTGTGAAAGCTGAACAGAGCATTGATCAGAGGTCCTACTTTGCCCTTAAACAGCATCTTCAGAAGACATGTCTTGGGTTAAGCATGAGCAATGCCTTTTGCTGTAGAACATTGCTATACTGTGTCAGTCAAGTAATGTTTTCTATCTAAAATAGCTGTCTTCTTTTTATAAGCAGAAGAATTTATTTTACTGCAGGAAATGGCTTGGGAGACAGAGGTTGCATGTGGAAGGGTACTGTAGAGAGAAAAACAGATACTTAACTGGTAAAGCTGGAGGCTTGTACTTGAAAAAGCAAGCCTTGAAGAATAAACTTAATTCAGTCCACATGGACAGTTGTGCTTAAATTGGCATTTTGTCTACTTGGTTACATTTCTGCATATACTAAAACATATCACCTCTTTTATGTAAATCAGCTGGAAGTAGAGTTATTGTACAGCAACATTCCCCAACATGTGCCTTCTGGATGTGTTGGATCTTAACACCCTTAAGTCCCACTAAGCATGTCTAGACTGGGTAGGAATCGGGAATTATAATCCAACACATCTGATTCTGTGTGAATAATTTGATTTATGCAATACTGTGCTGAATGTACTTGGGCTCTTTGAGGTACACAGGACATACAAATTAAAAACATTGTGATTCGGGTCTTCTGTCCTCCTGCTATATGAATGTGGCCTTTTTTCCCATGGTTGCCTGCTTTCTATTAGGCTAGAGAGAATTCCCAAGAGGGGATTGAGTAGTACAAAGTTTAAATTAGTCAGCTCACCTGTATTGGCTCTCAGTATTGATCCAAGCTTTAATTTTAGCTAGCTTAGATTCTGGCCATAGCTTTTTCTTATGATTATAGGTAGTCCTCAACTTACAACCACAATTGGGGCTGGAATTTTGGTCGCTAAGCAATTACACCAAGTTTACAATCTCTGGGTACGTAGCCAGCAGCCATGTTGGCTGGGAATTCTGAAAGTTTGATCCCAGCATGTAGGAGAGGCACCAGCTTGGGAAGGGTGCTATTTACAATGAAATCTCTGGTTGGGATGCTTAAGGCTGCTCTAATTCTGTGGCAGATTATTACATTCCTTTGCAACTATGTAGTTTCTATACATCCTGTGGCTTCCTTTAATGCACCAACATTATTTTTGCACTAACATGTAACCAGTGATGCTGTCTGCTCTGTGGTTTACAGCTTTCCCCAATCCTTGCTGTGACAATTAATTAACTGCACTCAAAGCTGGCAATACTGATGAATTAGAAATCCATATTATTTAAAAACTGAACTAGGCAGTTGCACTAATCTCCTCAGTAAATTGTCCAAAGGTATCAAGAACAAAACTTAATGTGTGCCAGTGTGCAAAATTGAGTGATCAGTGCCGTGTGGGAAGAAAGCATGATGTTACTTAGTGACTAAACTGCACTTAAAAAAACAAACAAACATAGGATTATTATGGTATTTAAATAAAAATCCCATTGAAATATTTACTTCTAGTGAATTGATATGTAATTCCTGTTCTGGGCAGATGTTTCTGCTAAAGTGAACAGATCTACCCAAAATGATGTCCATTGGTAAAGTAGGCTGCAGCCCTCTCTCTGTCTCCCTGAAAAGTCATACTGAAGTGAGTGGGACTTACTTCTGAGTAGGCAACTATGGGAATTTGCTGTTGGGCATATGAAAAACTGCAGGACCTGAATGTGCTCAGGGGCATTACAGTTTGATCTTGCTTTTTTTTTTTTTTTTATTAAAAGGTTTTTATTTTATTTTTTTTTTTTTTTTTATTAAAAGGTTTTTATTTTATTTTTTTTTTTTTTTTTATTAAAAGGTTTTTATTTTATTTTTTTTTTTTTTTTTAATGAATAGCTTGTAATTTGATTTGTTTGTTTGTTTGTAATCCAGCATTTATCCTTTTTTTTCCTCAATGGTAATTTATCAGAGGTAGCAACTTGTGCAGATAAAATGGAGTGGGGGATTGAGAATCATATGCATCACTTTGAGATCCAAGCAGAAAAGCAGAATACAAATGCAATAAGAAATAACAATAGCGTAATCAGGGAAAAACAGTTAAAATGCAGAATATAAAAATCACTGCATTAGGAATATCAAATTATTTTAACAATACAAATGTGTTGAATAGGTGAATCTCTAAAAACACACAAACCAGCAAAAACCATCACTGATGGGCTAGATGGATATTGTTCTGAAAGTCACCATTGCAGATAAGGCCTGGTCACTTCACCGCTTCGCAAACATTTGACTTTAATGGAAGGGCAGTGAAACTCCAGATATTGGTCTCAGAAGTTCAGGCAGGTTATGTCCTGATTTATATATTTTAGCTGAAGCTTAGAGGTAGTAACTGAACCAGGATTATCAGTAAAATGGCACAGAATTGTAAGAGATTATTAGTTTATTCTGGTAGGTGACAGGCTGTTTCTATCAGATACATGAAATGGAAGTAGAAAGTAATTGGTGTGTGTTTGTTTTTCATGCCTTCAAGTCAGTGTTGACTCCTGGCGCCTGGAGAAGGCCCTGCAATTGTCTTGGCAAGATTTTGGAAGTCAGTGGAAGTGCTTTCTTCCTGGGACTGAGAGAGTGACTGGCCCAAAGTCACCCAGCTGGCCTTGTGCCTAAGGCGGGACTAGAACTCACAGTCTCCCTGTTTCTAGCCTGGTGCCTTTAATCACAGTTTCACACACCGATTCAGATGTGAGACACATCCTGCCAAGTGCAAAATACCCATTTCAGGTGGGAAGCAGCTGTTTTCAAACTTGGGGTGGCTGTTTCAATAATTTTGGAAGTGTTTCAACCCTGAAATACTTCCAGACTGGACAAAACAGCCAATCTGCACACATGAAACCATTGTTTTTTTCTGCAAGTAGGATGTTTCAAATAACACACAGTTCAAATTAAAAATGTTTTGTGCACTCCTAGTGCAAACACATCTGCACATTGCCACCCAATGAGAAATAGAGGTAATGAAAAAGCAAAAAGCAAAAGAAGAAAAAGCCACATCCTTTGGTAATAGCACTCACATGTTTATTCTGAAGAAAACCTCATAAAGTTCAGTGAGCTTTACTGGCATAACTTGCTGAACTGAAAATTAACCTAGCAAGGTTGCGTGAACCTTGCATGTGTGATTTTAGAGTTCCATTTCTAATTAGGTTGAATAGGTCACGGCTAACTTTGGGCAAGCATGTCCTGCAAAGCCAACCAGTTTTTAAATGCATGGGGGGGGGGG